GACATTTTGCAAGAACTATAAGCCATTTAGGCTAGTCACTGAGCTTTCTTTTACGGAAAACAACACCAATGATAAGTTGCGATGTAATGACTTTGTTGAGCACGGTATTCGAATCATAGTTTATAGCGTCGAAGCTTAAAATGATAGTACTTGTTTTCGCTTCTAATTGGCAAAACGTTATAAAACTATTTTAAATCAACGTTTTTAAATGATTGTAAATTTTTCGTTTTTTTTCTCTTGACATTCCAATTTTTTTTATTGCTTAAAAGAAATTAATCGATGTCGGAATACTTCTTTAATTCTAAGTACATATTTTCTCTCTTATATATGTGCTTATATAGAGAATATATAAGACTAAATATATTTTCTTGGAATGAATTCATATCTGATTTTTTTCTGGGACAACGTAAAATTAAAAGTACATTTTTATTTTTACAATTATCTTTATCGGATGAACATTACGTTTGTGAATAGTAAATCCAAAGAAAAATTTACTATCGCATCATGGATACAAAGATATTTATTCACATATTTGTGTCTTTTCTTTTATCGTATACTTTTTGGTAGCGAAAAGAACTCTGTCATGTCAGACATATTAAATAAATGTTAGACAGTATTCGCTGTACAGTTCGTATACTTGGCAATTTCAACTTCCGGGAAATGATGCTGCATGGAAAGGCAGTCGGTGAGGAAGGATCTATCTGGGGAACATAGTCTACTACACTTTATCTCCTTCTTATAAATGAAACAGGTTATTTATTATCCAATAAAGAGACACTCCTGGCACGCGGCACCCCGCTGGGTACTTTACGGGGGTGGCAACCCCTGACGTGTAAATATCGAGGTTTCTCTGCGTCCCTCTCCGGAGACCACTGTACAGCGTTCCATCTTTTACACTAGTTTTCGACAGCACATATTCCACATGCCGCATGAGAGAATCTCTAGTTAGAAGGAAGGAAAGGTGACCAATTTTTCGATCAATTATTTTAACATTCTGATCTCATGAGTCTACTTTATACGGTCCAATAAATTAATGGTTAACAACTCAATACTAAGTATCCATTACTCAAGTTACTTAGTAGAGTATTAATTATTATCTTGTTGAAAAACATAAGTTTGCAAAAATACTTAATAAGAAATTCAGTTCTATATTTTTATTTAATATTTAGTAGTTCTTTTTACGTTATTATAAAAAACAACATTTTTTATACCTATTCAAATGTATATATGACAATTTTTATTTTTATTTTTTTACTGGTAATTTGTTTCGTACTTTTTATTTCGGAAAAGAACTTCACTTGTAGGCACACAACGATATGATTATATTAAATTTCCGTTTTTCTAAGTTTTGTACAGATCTTATCTTCCAGATGGATTGTCAGGTGCGCTTTTATATACCGCGGCACAAATGAAAAATTGTTGTGAAGCTAAGCCGTACGACAAAATGGCCTTCATTAAAACTTTGTACAGCTTTATGGAGGCGACTAGCCCGAGGTTGTTTTGCACATAGTAGTGAGCATGTTGCGTTGAGACCGGGCAACGAAGCAAGCTGATATAGCCTATGTAGATTGCGAGATATGAAAATCCGGGATTATCAAACGCTTTGCCTGCCAAGCATGAAAGACGCGACAATTTAATCACATGCACTGTAAAAAGATTCGCAAAGCGACCCACTATGCGATCCCTTCGACTTTCTTGAAGCCATGATTTTCAAGGAACACATCCCGAGCATACGCTCGCGTTCACGTACACACGCGAAAACTTTTAACGAAGTTTCCGAAACAGCTGATTGATTTTCTCCTAACTCGAGCTCGAGTTATTCTCGGAAACGTGCAACGCATCTTGATTATCGTTTCAGAGATTGACCGGAAACAGCATATATTATTTCTATCATCTTCGCAGATAATTAAAATAATAAAACTGACAACGCTATCACACTGTATAGTGAATTAGAATTTTTAGTAAATTAAGATGTAACAGTAAATTGGAGTGGTCTTTGATCCATTTCATTTCAATTTATTCAAAATCCTGCCGTGCTTTGCAAATTCTGTTCGTAACATAGCATTCTGTGCGAAAAAATCTTCGGGGTATGTATACTATGGAATTTTGTAGAGAGAAAGAATTGACTTTGTCGAACAATGTAATTAGAGACATAGAAAATGTACAGGGTGGCGCACAAATGTGTCATACTATTTAATTATCTTATTAAAACTATACTGGAGTATTAATTTTTTAACTGTATGAGTAAATTCTCGAGAGAATTCATGGAAATTCTGTTAGGTGTGGCATCACGAGTCCGATAAAAATGCACACACTTGTGAAATGGCGGATAATGGACTTAAAATGTTGAGCATAAAGTGAAAGTTCTGTTGTTTTTTGCGGAAACAAAGATTGTGACAGAAATTCGAGGATGTTCCGTTCACATCGTGTAAACGTTATTTACATATAATTTATTAGAGACAATTTTCCAGTTTTCTTGGTGATTAATTCTATACAAGTTCTGTACTAATTAAAAAAAAATTAATGTTTATGTAAAACAAGTATAGTATGACATTTCGTGCACCACCCTGTATCTCACGAACTATACGCGTCTTCACCTCCGTCCAACTCTGACTGTGTGAGCAAATTTTGTAATTCGTGGAAATTCTATTAGATGTGATGCCACACCTAACAGAATTTCCATGAATACAGTACAGAATTTGCTCACACAGTAAAAAAAATCGATACTGTACAAGTATAGTTTTAATTAAATAATTACGTGGTACGGCATTTCGTATTCGCCACTCTAAATGATGATACAGGTGATTAGAAGTAAGTTTACTAATTGATTTTAGGAATTGTTGTGGAATTATTAGAAAAATTTGACATGATATATTTCAACTGGAATAAAATAGCAAATTAAGTCAGGATAAAATGAAAGTAATTTTGCAAAATTTGAAATTTAAAAGGAAGTTATCGAGCATAAAGGGAAACTTTCTTTCAGCAGTGAATTAATGACTGCAGTTCTTCGTAACTGTGTCATTCGGGTCTTGCGCTTGAAGGACATGCAAGATCATCTCTTCGGGATTATTTCGTCACGGATGCTTCGCTCTTCTTATTTCCTAATTGATCCTATTAAGACGTCTTTCAAACAAGTTAGATTTCATGCACCGACGCTTCTCACGGGATGTTCATTTTGGCTAAACGGTAACTTCCGTCAATTCTTCACGAAAGAATTCTCGTTGTATTCGACAGAATAATGCTTTTCCCCGAATCGTGCCGAGTTTTAGCAACTTCTGAATCCGTCGCGATCCTCGACCGAATTTTCTTAGAGGAAGACACGCAAGCTTCCTACCACTCGGATAGACTTCTTCGTCGTTCTCCATTGCCTTGTATTCTCACTACCCAGACACACTCTAGTATTTTCACGGATTGTGACTTATCCTCGACGGAAGCAACGCATACCTTCTATGCAATCCTCTTTCTCGGAGGCAGAGAAGCCAAGGTACAAGGCATGTCTGTATCTTGAGACGGTGAAAGGAATTTCGAAAAATTTGATAGCTATCTGTAACCAGGATCACGTCACAGCTTACGACGTAAAATTTCGATTTAATCGTGATCATCGATGTTGCATTTCGCTAAAGAATTTCGAGGAATGGCAAAATGATGACATAATTTTCCGTTGAATGTATTTATCGAAATAATACAAAGTATAATTACAAAGTATTATTTTGTTAAGAATAATTACATTATAGTCACCTAAATCCACACATCAAAATAGACTTTCGTCAAGAATATATGTATATAAAATATTGACTGAGTTATCTTTTTTTTTTCATGTTATCAGACTAGCGTTCTGTTGGATTTCCTTTTGGACTTTTATCCGCTTTTCTCATTCTACTATGTAACTCTTACACGAATCCTATCTCCGTATTTTTCTTCACCCTTGACGGTCCCTTACTGAGCTCTCGGAAGTAACCCCTACCGGGCCGTTATACCACTACGAAACATCCAACCTTGGATCTTTCTTGGTATCTTCCTCTTCTAATATTTTCCGATACAGCTACATCTTGACGTTGAGCCAAAGTCGCACGCAATATGTAATACATCCAATTTCTAGTTTTCTCTGGCCAATTCAACCAATTTCATTTAATGTCGCACTGTTAGAATATCTTACGGCAGATACTATTCGATCGTAATATATGTTTATGTGAATATTTCAAAACGAAAACTATATATTCTAACAATAGATATTGGAAACCAATAGAAGAGCAAGTATCTATGTAAATTTAAATATTTATACCATGATACTTCCCTGTAGAGATAATATTTAATTTTTTATTCATTCTAGGTAATTAAAAGAGCAGATTGATTCTAATTTATTATAATATTATTTATGATGTATCAATAAAATCTCTAATAAGCAATTGAATTTATTAAACAAAAATGTTGACTAATTATCTATTGGCTAGTAGTTTTAGTAAACGTATAAAAAATTTATTCAGTGACGATTCATAGCCGGAAATACTATTCCGAGAATGACGGACGCCATCAAATGCTAATGGATTCGGCCAGGGGTAATTCTGATCCATTATCTCGCTTGTAGAGCCTCAATCGCGCGGTCTGTTCAATTTATCCTTTTGTTTTCTTTCGCGTTCTGTTTTTTTTTTTAGCGATTCACTCTTCTCTTCTATCATTCTTTTTTCTTAATTCTCCAATTGTTCGTGGTCTATGATTCATTTAAGTAATTTCACACTAGTTTGTATGTGACTGTCATAAAATCTTCAGTAATATTTAAAATCATAGAATAACAATTAATCTTATTACAATCGGTACGTACGATATGAAAAAGTAAATTAAAAACATAATTGTTAGATTTTTACAAAAATTATTTCCCAGAAGTATCAATCAATATTTTTTTCAGAACACGATACTTCATGAGGATTCATAATATGACGTGAAAACATATATAATTAATAAGGGATTAAATGTTAAAAAAAGTATAATTTTGTTTGTTCCAGGCTTTGGCCAGGATATGCCAGTGCACATAATAATCTTGGAACTCTCACGATAGACGATCAAGCGGAATATCATTTTCTAGCGGCTATTAACGCTCAACCTGGCCACGTAAATGCTCATTATAATCTCGGACGATTGTACAGGTTAGTGAATGATAAACACCGAGAAAATATATTATATAACATTGCGGATTATCAATTATTAAAATGATTATTAACTGGTCTAGTCGTCGATACAATTCATGAATTATATGATCATCAATTAATTATAAGGAACCGTTGCTTCTCTCTATGTGATAAAAGTATCTCTCCATCTGCTAGTTCACCGTTATATCAACGGGTTATCGATCCAACGCGAGCCGCGTTTCCGACGGTAAATTTAGCATGAGCTGTAATTCCGGTGGCATGGTTAAAATTAAAGTTTAATTAACGTCTTCCTACTTGATAAATTAAAATTTAATTAAGGGCAGAAATAGGACATACGGTCGACCAGTGCGTGTATGCAACAATTTTCCGTTCATTGTGCGTAAATTGTGAAAACAAGTGATCTCATTTATTTCTCTTCCTCTTTCTGCCGAGAAATTTTGTTTGAAACCTGCACATATCCGATGAAATATTTATGCAACGACTAATTAAATATTTTTAGTTTCATTTGCTTTTACATATGTACATTCTATTTATATCTTTCCTTTTTTATCTGTGATTACGTAACAGTAGAAATTATAAAAACAAACGTTGTCCTTGCTATTAATTTTTATTAAAAATATTTTAGCATAAATAAAAAGACTTTTGACAAAGAGACATTTATTCATTCTCTATAACATTAAATTCGAATTTAACTAATTCAGTAATCGGTTATAATTATTAACTATTTAATGTAATAATTTTTTACATCAATCGTATGTTAGCATAGTATATCAACTTAACATTTATGCAAGAAATGAAAAGTTATTTTTTAAAAATAACAAATTACCGTTACTCATTACTGAGTAGAAAAAGTAACAAGTTATCGTTACTAATTACTGATTTTTAAAAATAATTTGTTACAGTTATCGTTACTTGAGAAAATAACTTTTGGTTATTTTTCCATTACTTTCTTAAATGACCACTAATCACAGCGGATGGGTATCTAAAAGATACCAAAAAAAAGTAATGCAGTTATCATTAAAATTACCAAAAAAGTAACTTGTAACTTCGTTACAAATAACGAGTTACTTCTATTCCCTGCATTTATGTAATATAATACAATATTAATACATACGAGAAACAATAATACATTTAGGCTGTTTTTATTATAATTTTGATAATATAATTTTACAATAATATAGCATTTATGTGTTATATAATTTATTTTATATAATGTAGAGGAGAAGATAGTATATATTATGGCATCCTTTTTACATTTTACACAATAACTTGGTTAATAATCAATATTTAAATTTAAAACTTAACAATTACATTTGTCAAAATGTTGCTCAATTGATTCTAGACTCAAAATTATAACATTTATTGATTAGGATGCTGTTTATAAAAGTGTGACACTGCATAATGGCTCGAAGAGAAATAGAGATGATAATATGATTTTCCACAAAAATAGATATAAAAATTTGATTTTGTTAAAAAACAGTATTTGTTTAAGAAACAGTATTACAAAATTAACAAAAAAATAAAATATTGTAGAATGTATGTATTCAAATTATGCAAATGTGTACATTGTACACATAACTTCTTTCGCTTATAGGCTGTTCAGTACTAAAAATCTGTATACATATAATATAAACTATAGATTAATAGCAGAGCTACAATTGATTTATAATTATTTTGATATGAAAACCTTAAAAAAGAAATCGTCAGCAATCAACATGCCTAGCCACATTAACAAAATGTCATACTTAAGAAGAACCATTATATTTATACCATTGGTCATAATATCACTTTTTCCTCTATATATTAATGTCATCTTTACGCATTAAATAAATTATACAATATTAATATGCAAGTTGAAATATATGGAATGCGATGCTATACATAATATGTGTTAGGCTCTGCGCATAATAGAAGGAATAAGGAATTAGGAATAAAGAATAAACGATTTCAACCTATCAGAAACCGTGTATTCCGATGTATCCGATTTTTGATAAAATCGTTAAAATCGTTTATTCCTAATTTCTTATTTCTGCTATTGTGCGCAGAGCCTTACGCAAGTGAAACGCATCACACATACACATCACACATATGACATGCTATAATAATAAGATAATTCTCTTTGAGATATGCTATAACTGGATGATTCTCTTTGAGGATAATTATACGTGCGTGGACCATGCGGCACATGTCTTTATTTCTATTTTCGTGTTGATTAGAGGAATGCGTGTTATTATTGCGAATGCATTATTCATGTTATTTACATTATTTATCAAGAAAATGTAAAAATATAAAATACTTTCTATTACTCTTGAAAATGTTCCGAATTTCGTTTAATTTCTATTACTTTTATTTCTTAAATATCGTTAATGTGATATATGTACAGAATAAGAGTCCCAGAATAAGAGATTATTTTCTTCAATATCTCTATTTATGTATCAATTTTTAAGAAAATGAAAAGAATTACAAAAATTCTAGTAAGACATAATTACAAATGTACATAAAAGGACTTTAAAGACTTTAGAGATAAACTTTAAGAAATAGTAGCTGTTACCAAAAGAACCAACTTTTGTTAAGGAACCTGTGTCTTTTTTCCAACGAATTTAAAAAACTACACGTTCTTGTTTAAATTGATAGTAAGATACATAATCAATCGCGCGGCAGCATTGCGCGTGACGTCTGACAATACTAGTCCATGTGTTTGCTTTAGTTTTGTTAGTTGCTGTTAGTTTTTTGCAAAAACAAAATTAAGGGAAGCGAACTATCATTGTCAAATGCCACATACAACTGGACGCAAAGCTCTTTAAAATATATCGGAAGGTAGAGGTTTCTACAGTGAAAACTGATTCTTTTAATGTTCTATCCTTTGAAATTTGTCCTGAAACATACTCTGTATTATATATTTTTAAAATATACTTTTATTGCGCACACGTATCCATTTTTGTGCAAATTTAATTTTTGTCTTCAAACGTTTCCACGTACATTACATGACATATAAAATAATTCTCACCAGAATTGATTCATGTGAAGATTAACAAATATAATGGCATAGGATATAATAAATGACAAATTTATGAAAAAAAACTTGCTTTGGAAATATTTTGAGGTAATCTAAAATATATTTAAGATAAATTAAATGTATAAATATAAATGGATATACGTTCGTACATATAAATGCTCTTTTATTCAATTAATATTTCTTCTTTTCATTAGATGAAATAGTTGATCGAGCGATAGTCATAAAAAGCATCGCTCAAGCTACGGGCGTAAACAGTAAAAACGGTATTGTCGATCAGCATTATTGGCGTTGGCATTCTCTGACAATTACCGAGTCTTTTGTCGGCGTAAAGTCGATTACATGAAAGCGCACGACTATAATTCAACCGGACGCATTCGCGAAATTGCCGTTCAATTTGTACAGAAACGCCAAATTTATCGTGGTACCTTGTTCGTTGGTCTTTTCAACGTCGAGCCTTTACCAGCCTATCAACCTACTTTGAAATATGTAGCATTTTTATCGAACAATAAAGCAATGCAAGCAAGAAATAAATATATCCATGACAGTAGTTAAAGCGGCGCATCTGACGATATTGAGTGATTAAATATTCGAACGATATGTATAGAATCTATAATCAATGCTAATTGGAATCGAATTGTTCGTTATTAATTAAGAATAATAAATGACAATCTTCCAATTACATTACGTTTCTTTACTTATTTATTACGTTCTATTAAAATTGTTTGATCACTGTTTATGTATCTACTTGTATAATACGCTGAAAACGTTTTAAAATATCATTTATTTCATTCCGTACAGAAAACAATTATAAAATTTATTATAATAGAATTAAATTAGTTAAGAATTTATATATAAAAATTTATAACTTTACTAAAAGTTGTCCGTATTAACCCAAGTAACAAAATGACGCCAAATGATGTTTTGACAGCGTCTTTAAAATGACATCTTGCTATTCTAAATCCTATGTTTCGTAACGTGTGAACATGTTTACATACGATATTTCACATTCGTAAAATTTTGCTTTTAGAAGAACGAATCGAACTGAACAGTGCATTGAGATGCTGAGGAGATGCGTGTCGCTGGATCCGGCATACGCACCGGCATTTAGGGTTCTAGCGAGAATCGCTACCGGTCCTGCAACAGGCGAGCTCCTGAGGCACGTAATTCACCTTCAACCACGAAACCCGGACGCTCTCGCTGAGTATGCTTACTGGTTATACAAGAACGGTGAGTTGCTAAATGAAATAAGCTTAGAGTAGCAAGTGGAAGACCTTCAAATCCCGGGTAGGAGAAGCACTACTTGTCGACAAAAGTAGAGCAATCTCGTCAGAGTTACCTGCAGTTACCAAGCAGTTCGCATGATCGCAACCCTAAATTTACACTCGCGGCACAAACTTGCTTCGTCTCTTTCAGGCAAATGGTTGCCCTCACTCCGATACTATTTCAAAGCGATGGAGATCTTTCCGTCGCACAAACCGTCGCTTATTGGTACGCTCAGGATTTTGAGGTCGCGAGGTCAGTGGTCTAGAGTACATCAGCTCATCATCAGGTGAGCATTTATATTCTATGTGCATGCGTATATCGTTGAAACATACAAAGTTACCATTACAAATTAGAAAATTGCCTCGACCTACGTTATAGGATAGTTATTACGAGAATAATAAGAGAATATAATGAGAAATATAATCTCTATAATGTTATTATATGAGTACTCTATAAGATTACTTATTGAGAACAGTATCCACATATTGCTTTCTTCCACGCATCTAATCATTCGCACAAAACGTTGAAATGGGTGAAAGAGTCACATCAAAGCAATTTCCCCGGATTACTTAAAACAGCATCGAATATACACCCTGGAGAATATCGCCGCAGTTTGGATTGCGCAATGTAATGTCCGAATTTGTAATTTCCTCGGCAGCATTGCGAGATCGTGTACAAACACAGGCTTTTCCGCATGTTACGAATTCCGTGCATGCGACGAAGCGTGGCTCCGTTGCGCGGAAATCCTTTCAATTTCAGATGGGCTTTACAGCGTTGCGCGAATCGAGCAGCGGGCTTATTCGCGCGGCAAGTACTCGGTACGTTAGCGCGCACGTCAATTTGCAATCAATGAACGAATTCAATTTTTTTCCGGCGATCTCTCTGAACTCGATCTTCGTTCCGCGCGGATTGATTAAAAATTCCACGTGATTTTCGTATTTCGCGAGAAGTATACATCGAAGAATAAAATTAAAAAATTAAAAAAAAAAGAAGATAAAAAAAAACGAAAATAGATTCGATACTGTCTCGCGAGTTGATGCGATCGTTCTGTCTCGACGGTCGAGTTTGCCATCGGCCGTTTATGTACGCGGCACACATCTACGTACACACGTAGATTATACGATAACGGGCGCGCAAGCGGCTGGTCCCCATGTTTTCGCTGTGACTGCCATCACCCCATCGCCCATTTTTCCACCCTCACACTGTAATCCTCCCGCGTCCCGCTGTGTGCAAATAGCGCCTATAAAACACGTACGGTAAATTTGCCAGCGACGATTCGCGTTGTTTTTGTAGTTGGTGTTCTCTCTCTCTCATTCTCACTCTCATTCACTTATCCTCTCTTTCTCTCTTTCTCTCTTTCTCTCTTTCTCTCTCTCTTTCTATTTCGAGCTTGCCAACAACGAAGTGCCGCGGCGGCGAATCGTCGTCCGAACGTATACGAATTTTGCAGTGCCAGAGATAGGCACGTAGGCGTGGCCCAGGGGATGTAGGAGCAACGGGGCGAAAGGGGGTTAAAATTTTGGAGAAACAACGCTCGGAGAGGCGCCGGCGGACAGGCGGTCGAGCAGCGAGAACCATTCTCTCCCTCTCTCTTTTTCTCTCTGTGTTGCTACCACACGCGAAATTTCAATATGCATCGTTTGACAGATGTGGCGCATCGCTCGGATTTTAAATGCAAATATAAATCTCTCCGCAGCCCGTAACGGAATGGTGGGGTGAAGAGCATAAAGTATACAGTTGCGTAGTGGCTGAAAGAAAACAGAAAAAAACTTTAGACAGTCCATTTTATATGAGATCTAGATAATTACCATTTTTATGAGTTCTAAATAAATATAAAATAATTGTAGCAGATATAATTGTTCTGCTATCCGCAGGGACTCGGACCAAACCAAAATTGGAACTGAAAATCGTTTTGGAACTTTTTTTTTTTTAGTAAAATGAAATCAAAACAGTACCTAAATTTTGTATAAAAGTTTATAATACCGAAATTGTAACCGAACCGGTAAAATTGTATGGTGTTTTTCAATTCTTTTTTCTTAATCTTTGAATTTTATCCTTGTTCTTAAATTTGACTTTATCCTACCCGTTCCTTCACCTAAATCACTAATGTTCAATCCAGTATTATCGTCACCAGCTCTCTTAACAATTGGAATTCAAATATTATATCTAATATGATATAAGGAATCTGGCGGAATCGCGAGACATATTTAATGTAAACTTTTTTAAGATACTAGCATTTCATTTAGATCTTCCTTACCAACATGTTGCAAAAATTTATTCCAAATCATGAAATTTAAGAATACATATGTAGACTTTATGTAATAAGTGAGATCTATCCACATAAGAATAAAATAAGTTGTAAGAAAGGCTCGAGAGAAATATGTTTGAAATGTTTAAGTAATTTTTGTTCACAATCACGTGATCAGATTGACGCCTCTTTCTTGTTGAATTGTCTAGATTAAAAGAGTAAACACGATCTCTCTGTTTTTCTCTTTCTCTTTCCTCTCCCCCTCCCTCTTCTTATAGAATAAATTTTAAGAATAAATAGAATAAAGCGAATAAGTAGAACAGAAAAAAACCGTAATTTTTACCGTTTCGGTTTTCTTTACTTAGTAAAAAATTAATGAAACTGAAACCGGAACATTTATTTGATATTTTATTAAACCGGAACCGGAATCGAACCGAAAAAAACCTTTCAGACCGGATCTCTGGCTATCTGTTGTATTTATATTCATTAAAATTTCGTACAATGAGTTTATTTTACACATAGATTCGCAACTATTAATATATATATATAAAACATCCAAAGTAATTTTTTCTTACAGGAATAGAACAATTATTTTATATTTAATATCCTTACTGTTTGCATTTTTTTTAGAGACCTCATCGATATTTTATAATTCTTAACGATAGTTCGTTATTGTCATATTGTTATTGCATAGCTTTTTTTATTATACATACACACACAAATATGTATAATACATGCTTAAAATAACAATATGGGTATTATCGTTAAGAGCTACAACATAGGGATCCAGATGAATAATTTTCATTCTGTATATTTCTATTTAAAAAGAAATATATAAAACTATTATAAACTTATGATATTTTATCGCGCCATATTGATTAATTCGCCGTGCATTTTACGAGAACACGATATTTTTAACCTACACATTATTGGTAATGAACACACACACCAATAAAAACGAGAAATTCACATTTGTCGCTCGATGCATTCAATACCATATAAATCTGCAGTTGTAGGAGAAATATATCATTCAGGATGTTCTTGTCCGTCAACGCACGAGACGGAGTTTGAAAGGCATTTATTCAATCCGACGATCGCAAAAAGCAGTACAGGGACCTTGTTTAATTATATTATTTCGAATAGCATCAGTCGTCAACGGGAAATGTGCCACAAACTTTTTATAGAACGCGAGGGTGCTTCACGTTTCATTTATTTAAAGCCAAGCTGAGGCAAGTTCCCAATATTTCCGCTTTCCATTCCATACGCGATGGTTGGATTAATTTCTCATAAATCGCCTGCGGTTTTCGTTGATTGGGTCACGGTTTCATTTGTGCCTCGCTCCGGGACACGCCGTTTCCGATCTGAAGTAATTAAGTGTCGCGATCGGCACGTAGCTCGATATCGAATATTTCGTCCCCGTTTGCTTTTATGGACGTACAATATGATATTGACATTGTCGAGAAAACCACCAACTGAACGTGTGACATATTACGATTCGATACCCCATTTTGGGACAGTTGCGCTTTCTCTCTCTCTCTCTCTCTCTCTCTCTCTTTCTCTTCTCTCCCTCCAAATTTTTCTCTTTTCTCCTCTCTTCTCTTCTTCTCTTATCCTTTTTCACTCTCAAATAGTTTAATAAAAAATATATATTTGATGAAATATTTTATATAAGTTTTGCAGATTTTTCTAATAACTTAGATAAGAATGATCTACATTCCTACAATAAAACGTATTCAAAAATATGATAATTTTTAATTATAAAATTGTAGGATGCCAAAGTTTTCTCAGATAACATACGCTTTTTTCATTTATATAGAATTTTGTTTTATTTTAATGAAAAATTAAATTAATTTATTTTATATGGTAGAACATTTCAAATATAATAAAAGTTATATAATGTTCACATATGATTTATAATAACAGTAAGATTGGAAAAAAGTGCTAGATTATATTATCTCAATTCTTATGAAATATGCTATATCTTATTCGATTCGAAATCATCGAGATGGACCATAATTTCTTACGGAGATAAAATCTAATAGTTTCTGGACGCAATTTTCTCAACCATTAACGGTCTTTCCACTACATTGTCGTTAACAATGGAGTTATGCTCTACGGGGTGTTTGTGCTTAGAGTGAACATTATTGATGACTCGATGCTGTAATCATTTTTTCTCATATTTTTTTCTGGTACACTTGTAATAACAAGTGAATTAAAAAATATGGAAAAAGCATTTTTATGAAAAGATACATAAGTTTATATTTAAATTTATTTATATCATGATATAAATATCTATTTATTTATTTTTACAGCTAATATTATAAATTTATAATGATATGCATTATGTTAATTTCATAACAGGATAAACATTTTATTTGTACGCAAAAATCGTGTTCACGACAACTTGTAAATGAATGCATGAAAATTGAAAATGGATATACAATATTTATCTTATATTGTAATTAGTTATTTATTTTATATGCAGTCAGTAGATTTTTATAATCGAATTAACAGCACGAATAGTATTAAAACTATCAATAGAAAAGGCTAAATAACAACTGTTGAATATCGCTAATTATTGTTTCGTTTTAGAAGCGCATTTTCTCCACGAATGTGTTAAAATCGTTTGATCACGGCATGTGAAGTCGCCTGGTACAAATGTTTTCTATTCAGTGCATATCCATTTCATTTAAAGAATTATACAAATGTTCAGTTTCCAAAACATTTGGTTAAATTACTGTAAAATGCAAAGTCACGTGCAACGAGTGTCGAAAGTGTATGTTCATATGAAAATAATTTTGAAATATAGTCTCATTTATTGTTTAAATTTACTTATTTGCCTATCATTAAATTATGTCGATTCAAATAATTTGAAACTCGGAGCGCGTGGTGTGCGCATCGAGATAAATATTTATTGGTTCATTAATTAACGTGTAAAGATCATAAAACTTTCATTGGACATAAACGAAATTATCTTATAATTATAACTACTGTTAAAACAAAATGAATATGTCCCGGTAGGTGAATCATCTAATAACATCTAAAATAAAGAAAAACATGAGAAATTAGCCAACGATCGAATGGCTGATTACAGCAGAAGTTCGTCGAACTATCCTCGTTTTTTTTTTCTATCAGATATATAAATTTAAAGAAAAGCCACGGCAGATAATGATACGGACGCAGTGACGTCATCGCCGTTGCGTTCAATGCTCAACGAACCGATAAATCGAGAATTTACCGATGCCTACCTGTATTCCCATAGTTTTGATCAATAAAACGCAACGTGTTTATTCGCGCAAATATTCCTTTTTATCTTTGAAGTCATAAACATGAGAGGAAAACGATGGTCTATATCACCAATTTCGCCCCGGCAATCGCAAACTGCAACGACTCATCGTTATGGTTGCGATCTCACGCAACTTTTAACAACAATTCGGCTACGAGAAAGAAATGTGCGTGTGCCGCAATAATTTTAGATCAACCTTCGCCACTATCGTTTCCGGGATGCAGGATGCGATATTACCCCAGTGTTCCGACTCGCGCGCGATCGCTCGCAGCCGACATGGTCTCTATCTTCCGCTGTAAATAGCGATTTTATAATTCATGGTATGCCATGTGTTTCATCCGGTCTATTGGTGAACCACCGAACGGCCGATATGACCGGTGGTACCGCGCGTTACCACTTCGTTACAACCACAGTTGAATTAGAGTTTATTTCACACGAATGTCCGTACGAGATAGAAGGGCTCGCGGTTGGCTTTAACAATACTCACCGCAAAACTTTAATTCTGCAAAACTTTAATCCTTAAATCTTCTAGTAAAATCGTAATAGTGGTATTTGCGTATAGCAGTGTTCATTTTTGCTCACAGATCGAAGCACAAGATGTTGTATATATCAATATTTGTAATAAAAATTTGTAGTAAAAAAATAGATTTGTTGAAATTGCAGATACTGGTTTTCAATATTATAAAAATCCAACGTTGATATCGTCATTTTTTGAACTTCTTTTATGAATATTTTTTTTTTATCTGCCGTTTTCCATTTTGATATTATTTAGACTGAATTGGTCATGTTGCTGCAACATGCATGTTGCAACAACATGACTATCTCCCAGTAGGACGTACGATCGATCACGAGCGATTTGAAACTGACCCGATGTGCTCGGAGACACGTGAGATTGCTAAGTCACGTTGCGATTACAGTCGGTTCGGACCAGCCGAACGTCAACGTTGTTGCTGGCATGGGTCGATATCGGCATTGATACTGGATGAGGGGTGGAAGCTATTCGATATACATAGGCACGCGTTCGATTAACCGGTACGAAAACGCTGGTATTGTCAATGCTTCGAACCTGCTCTAACTGCGTCCGCGTAAATGTTACAGCCTTGATAACAATCAGGATTATTCGACTGACTGAACGTGCACCGGGACAATACAGCGTTCACTTTGACATCACAAGATTTATTCGCTTGCTTGAAAATTATTGAGTTACAATTATGCGATATATTATGTCTATGACGTACGTCGCATTAAAGCTACATTTTTCTACTTTACGTATTATGTAACCCGTAATATTCGCAGTGCAATCAGTTTGTTGTACAAAAAGTATGTAAATTTCACGCTTTTTCACGCGATAGAATCTTTAGATCGGTGATATCTCGGTACATAACGAGTTACAGTGACAGATTATAATGCATGAATCGTTCTTTTTGTGAACTATAATCAAGAGTAAACGGTTCTGAGATAAAGAGAATAAAGTAGAACGAAACTAGAGCTACGTTATATGTATAGATATTACACGGAGTTTATCGAGTGTGAAATGTTATAGTCAAGTTTATTATTGCTAGCGTCATATAAACAAGGTATTCAGCGTAATGATTTTTTAGACACTTCTGACAGAAAAAAAAGATTGAAGAATGAGATATTTATCTGTTTTATATTGGCTACAAAATGCGATAAAAAAATTTTAATTTAGATTTAGATTTTTTTTTCATAAGGAAATCAAAGGTATCTTAAATTTGTTAAATATCATCATACAATTTTTTTCATAATATTGTATTCAAAACAAATTTAAATCACGGTCACATATCAGAAATATTACTTTTATTGATATTTTATTAATTTTATTGCATATCTTATTAAATAAGTACATGTATATATGTACGTATATTCTGTGTTCTAGTCAGAAGTCGTAAGTACTGTTGTTACAAATAATGTTACAAATTTTATATTAAGTATCAATAAAATCAATAAAACATCAATAAAAGTGACGGTTCGATAGTGATTTGAATTTGTCTTGAAGACCCCTACAATATTATGTAAAAAAAATTGTATGGTGCTTAAATTAAAAAATTTTTTAAATTTAAGATGACTTTGATCTTTTTAATTCTTTTATCGCATGTTGTAGCCTATATAAAACAAATGAATATTCTTTTAACTTTTTTTTAACTGTCGGAAGTATTTAAAAAATCATGCAGACCGTTACACTGACCACCCTGAATACATTGATATATATAAGATCGCGAATATTGGTATCATTCTCGTCAATCAACTTTTCCTCTTTTACGCTTCATAAATACGATGTTCGGGCGTGAGTGAAAAGATCACGACGATGAACTAGAGTGTAAGTGAAGCGTAAAAAAGGGTATGTTACTTACGAATTTATTTTATGGAGTGTGCCTTCGGATGTTGAATAATGACACTGGAACTACATCAGCGCGAAAATTTATACTGAGGAAAATTTTAAATGTGCAAAGAGAGAAAGAGAAATAGAGAGAAAAAGAGAGAAAGAGAGGGAGAGATTCAATTTATAAAGAGGAAATAAATCTTCATTTCTCTCTTCAGCAATTATATATTGATCATTTCTATAATTTAAGGAATGGATCTCTGAGAAAAACGCACGCTTTTGCTCACGAAAATATTTTACAATTTGCTATGCAACACAATTTTATACAAACCACGAAAGCAAAAGAATATAAATTATGTAACACGCTTAACACTGGAATTTTATTTTCCTCTTTGTTTCAGATGGCATTTAATGTTACGAGCGAAACGAGGAGGCTTCATCTATCGCGGAGACTTGTATATTCGTGCGTGGGAGTTACAAAGCGAGTCTCGTCAAAGGACTCATCAACATCAACGGAATCTCTGTATATCGGTTAGTAGTTTCGGTCATAAGAGCATCGCGTGTATAGTAGCAAAGTTTCGTGGATTCAGTTAGTTTCTCATACTGCCATCTGTTATCTTAATGCAATAGTGCCTTTGTCTGTCTATCAAAGTGGATAATCTTAAAAGTTATTACTAGCACGATACGATGCGCGAATTTCTTTCGTTTCTACAAGACTGATTAAGATTCTTTGGTCATGCCGTGTCGCCATAATTCTGATTAAATGGATGTAGTTCCGTTTAGTCTCTTTCCTTCTGTCTTTCATCATTCCGGTCCCATTTCAACTTAGTTTTCTCAAGAATGACTTGTTCCACTCATTAAAGATTTAAGTACTTGCACATTTAGCCACACATTATCCTCTTACCGTTTTGTCTGGATTAAATCGCTTTTGTGATAATCACATGCACACTGATAATAATCTTAAAGCTGCCTTTTTGCTAGAACATTTATGAAGCTTCAGAAATGAGAATATCTTTTCTAAAGTCACGTAAAGGAAAAATGCAGTCTTTTCTCTTTTTTTGTTCAACGAATTTGTACGTACCAAAGAAAGCAAATAAACGTACATTATGCACATACTTTAAATTGTGATCACACACATACATAACTCATAAATCAAAATTAACTATAAATCACAGTGACATGATAGAATTTGAAATATTTGAGTGCGCACAAAAGTAACGTCAGCCATGACTAAAAGCATGACGTGCACAGTAAAATTTGTCAAAGTTACATAATTCTGAAATTGTATTTAGCTCAACTAGAAACTTCTGTATTTAAACTGATATTCAGCATTAATTATTCTCAAGTTCTCATATTCTCTCGGTATTCAAAAGCAATACTATTAATTAATTAATGTACCGTACCATTACTGTGTGTACCATTTAACTTTTGCAGTTATATGTCTTCGAATGTAACAATCGTTTAATATCGCGTTAATTTCGTATATCGATAACGCTCTTCGCATTCATCATGAACAATCGTGAGTGAGTTACTACGCGTAGCAGTTTACCCCAGTTTACCCGTCCGTACAACGTACGCCGCAGTAATCTGTAAATCACAGAGAGATCGCAAATTTCGCTGGAGCATCGGCAATTGTCTGTTCTAGGAGAATGGATGTTCGAGACCGCGCGTGGCCAGCGTGTCGGTGCAACTCGAACAAGACAGCAACAAGTCGGAACAGCTGCAACGGGCGCCGCGTTGTAACGTGCGTGCTTGCAGACAGCCAAGAAAAGGGAAGACGCGTGTAACCGCGCCCACCCTGCTCGTGCAGAATTTTCTAGAGACGCTTTAGTCCGCCCCAATTGGGGAACGGGTCTACCTCCTGCTCGTTCGCCAGCTGAAAACAGGCCGTGAAAGATGAAGGAAGAAACGCGATACTCCGACCGCGTAGCAGCCTCGTCCGACGATCGTCAGCGACGAAGAGAGTCCTATTATAGTGGAATGCCTGAATATTTTTCGTATGCTGTGTTTGTGTGCTATCTAGGACCGCAAGCCCGACCTGTCGCGGATCAATCACGATAACGAAATCTAAGAAGGTACGCATATATCGTTATCGTTTATATATATGTGTCCTCGCGTTCTTCGTGGCATCCTGTTTATCCTGTCGATCGGACAGCGACGATGCGAGTCGCGGTCTCTTCGAAAAAAATTAAGTCGTTAATAAAAACAAAAAAAAAATAAAGAAACAGATGCCTGCTCCGTAGATAACTTTGGCTTCGAACGTCGATATGGCGTTCTGAAATCATTCGCCAGGACAAATGACAATGTGCGCTAATGGTGAGAATCGAATGCTAGAATTAAATTCCTTGAAAATTATTTTGCCACTTTTAAATTCAATATAAGAATATTTAACGAGAGAGGACCAAGGGAGATTCGAGCGATTAACTGTGTGCGACGAACGATATAAGCAAGTTGATTGATAAAGGCATACTTAATCGGATATAACTTAGAGCCGTGTGCGTTCAAGCGTGTATCTACCTATACTTTTGAAACGTGATAATTGTAATTGATAATATAGTTACATGTAGTACGACGTGTTTCTATAAATATTTGCTGTATCTCGTGTGTGCTTTCAACGTTTTTACGATGTCCGTTTCGGTGCAGTGATAAAGCTGCACCGTTGTGTATGTAATACCAGAAAGATGAAGCATTTTAACAAACAGTAATAAAAAAAATTGAGAATTGCATTCGTGAAAAATATCTCGACATAAAGGTTTCGTTCGAAAAGTCAGCGAAACTATAATTATTTCAAAAATACTTGATATATATGAGTGGTTATCATCGTATTAAAAATAAATCGACCTTGTTCACAAAGAGTCTGTACGCATAAACATTTATAATTTTCATTCCCAACAAATACACATACCCAACACATACGCACACACACACACACACACACACACACACACACACACACACACACACACACACACACACACTGTAAAAAATAAAATATTAATTTTAACTTAATGAGATATAGTAAACTTCCTGAGAAATGCAAAAGTGTTAATTTTAACATTTTTGCACATCTCAGAAAATTCATTATACGGCATTAAGTTAAAATTAACATTTTATTTTTTATATACACAATCATTCTTTGACATATAATATTTTTTTCTACGCCAAAGATGGAAGCTGTACACGAAAAATGAAATTATGATGAATTTTATCTTTTTCATAATAAAATATGACAATAGCACAATGCATGAAAAGAGAATACGCATATACTTTTGAGACTCTTTTTCTCGGATCGTACTTTGTGTTCCTCTCTCGTAGACGCAATTTTACGCACGTAAATACACGGTGCCAATACTAGGGTAATGAATGTGCCGCTAATCTGTGGCGTTTGGTATGGCTTTTGTATGAAAATTAAAGAAACAAATAATTTTAAAGAAATACATTCTTCGATGAGCTTGGTACGGCAATGTTCTATTGCAAGTATATCGTAAGAACGATTTCTATGAAAGCTTTTTTCAACATTTATGAAAAAGGGAGAGAGAAAGATAGAAAGAGAGAAAGATCTCTGTAGTATTTTTTATATTAATTAAATATTAATATCAAAATTATATTATTACTTTGACCGTAATACTGAAATTAAATAAAAGAATTAAATAAAATATTACTGGAAACATTTAAAATAATTTAGTTTAAAATAATTTAATTAATTTAAATCAATTTTCTTTCGTGATTAATTCAGCATATAACGTAACAAAATAAATAAAATATAATCTGTTAATATTATTATACAATATGATGAATTTAATTTGTATGTCACTTTACGAATACTTGCAAAACTTTGTCAAAACTTAATAGAAGACCAATGTATATACCTGTATACAGAAAAGAAATGTTACATCGAAAATTTTGTCGATGCTTATTAAACTTCTCTACTATAAATTATTGTCCTGTAATATCGTTATAACAAACTCGAGTAAATAAATTTTGGCCATCCGGATACAACGGCCTGTGGTATTTCGCAGAACGCTGCGAATAGTGGGAAAAATGCAACGAAACGAGAATAAGATCTAAACTATAATGGTATATGGAAATGGTAATGCATATGTATGAAGTTACATTTTCAGTTACTATATTTTTCTGTCTGCGACTCTTGTTTGTTATTTACAGCTCAAATATCTTTATTGCAGTATTTTATTTTGTGATAAACATTAAGTAGAATATATCAAATTTCTTCGTTTTAATTTGTATCTAATATCAGAGTTACAATATATAAATTATATTTATTTAATATTTTTAGATTCTATGTAGATGAGTATATAAATTTGATTATATTATCCTATATTAACAATCAAACCAATTGGAAAAAAATTTAGTTAAAATTAACGTTAACATAATGTGTAAATTATGCGTTAATCGGCCAGCGTCAATCAGAGTTGCAAAAATTTTGCGCAAGCATAATACTATCATTACAATTAAGAGATGAGGAATCAAGCTTTCTCCTCGTAGAAATCATACGAATGAAGCTATTAAAATAAGAGGTCATAGGAGAGTTGCTCATTAGCTAAGGTAAGAAATAAAATACGTGGAAGCTAATACATTTAATACAAGGTATGGAAGTGAGCTAAGTATTCTATTTTTCGTACGTTTAAGCCTTAGGCGTTTCTCCAATTTTAATGGAAAATAAGCATTTAGCATCACTGCATTTCATTATAAATTCCATGAGATAGCATAGTTGCATATATAAAAATTACATTACTCGTGACAGATACGTCTATTCTGCTATATTAGTGAAGACAATTTTGTGATATTACGTAATGGTAATTAAACGTTGAAAAGATCCGACGGTTAAAAATAATTTGCAATTCATATAGCTGCAGGAATTGAGCCCCGTACTTTCTATGTAAATGTCAGCAAATATAATTCGATATATATTACAATACATATTTTATTTTTATTCTAGCAATCTCTTTTTTTTTTATCAGGACGTTTGGCCGATCGACAAATCCAACAGCCAATTAGTATATTATTATTATCAAACGGAACTAACGGATGAAATGTATCGTGAAATAATTAACATTATCGATCCGTTTAACAGCACAGACGAAAGAACATTTTTAAAAAGGTGTAAAATTGGAAAATTCGCGATATTGAAATGCGAAAGTTTGACATTAGAAATTGAACGTGGGGCCGTGTATAATTAGCCGCAATTTAATTAGTCTAGGTTACTACTCGATAGACCAGTTTGTATATCTAATTACGATACGTTATTACTCATACTCATTGTGAATAATACAGCAATTATAAATTATCATAATAAAGTGTATGTTTATATACATATATCCACGTATGTTTGATTTATGTGCTGGTATCCGACAATATTGGCGATTCCAGACTACCCATACCTAATCAATTATCCAGTTTTCCCTCGTTTAATTATGGTCGTCCGGCCAAAATTGCGGTCTCGCCGACCAAGCTACGGCAAATTTACAGATCGCCCTTCCTCCCATAAGCATGGCAAGAATAGGTCGACAAACTTTAGCCGGAACTAACATGATAGCACGGTCATAATTTTCATTAAGTGTGTAATGTGCATTTGTTACTGCAATTGCAATAATTTATCACAATTACGGATATGTATTCACCGGAAGATCGTTTATTTAGTATCGTCAACCTGGTGCATTTGCTTGAAATTGCAAGAATCATGTAAAATTGCATATATTCATTTCTCTGCCATGCAAATATTCCAATTTAAACGAATTTTCTTCGATGTTGATTATTTAAATAAATTTTTTCTTTTTAAATGTTTTGTTTTAGATACAATAAATTTGTCTGCTCATACGTAGACTTTTCTACATCAATAAAACGCGAGTCGACATTGAAGGACCGACTGGGATAAATAATCGTACGCGATTCTTTTCATTTTGCGAACAAATACATGCACGCACATAACCGGCACACACCTGAGCAAATCTACCAAGCTGCGCGCAGGTGGTTTTGAAGAGTCGCTGGCATTATGTTCGGCTCACAATGAGCGCGTACTAACACTCTCACTCTATAGTCGGCAACGCCTGGAAATAATGGAGCCCGCCGCAATGCAGAATTTCGGTGCCCCGGTAAGTATCGTGTAATTTTAACGGTAATTGCCGGCGGTTTAAATGCGCCACAATTGAAATAACCCTTATACCACCCCACTATTATATAATGTCGATGTAAAGGGTGTGTGAGTAAAAATGAGAATTTTGAATTTTACATTATTATATAGCAGCCTCTCTATTTTTGTCTGCTGCAGCAAGCTGACGTTATTTGTCAATTTTGACCTCAAAATGACGACAAATAATATCGAAGCTGAGAGCTGCTTCGTCACCACGTCATTTACCAGGAAACGTTATTTACCTACATAATAACAATTTCGAATTATCAGGATATTCTTACGTCGAGAAACTTCCTAGTTTTGCGACCTCGGTCTCAATTTTCTAAAAAGGGGTTATATCGTGCATTTCAGTCACGTACAGCTAGCAAATTGCTTTTCACTGAGATCTTTGAACTTGTACAAAATTTTTCTTTTATCATAACGTCCTTTCGTACCATTAAATGCGCTAGAAAATCACGCGGCAATATCTATGGTCAGCAACAGCCATTCCTTTCCCGTAGTTTAAGTTCGCGCTATTGACTTTTACGACTCTATATCTCATGTCTATGTAACAAGAAAGCGAAAGCATTTATAGACGCATTGTGCGCCAAGCCGCGCGTGTGCGGTTTGATTTACATTGTGCGAAAGTCGACTATCACGTTTTCGATAGGCGGATTTGCCGATAATAGCAGATGGATCTGCATGATCCGGGAACCAAGTGGGAATACGAATCCGGACATTATCCTGGCGCACCGTGACGGCTCGCTAACGTAAAACGGATGCATGTACGTCCCGCTGCATCGAGTACGGCTACGTGATCCGTATATTCGCTCCAACGCAACGGTCCGGGATACAAAGGTCACGCCTTCCTCCGTGCCTAATGACCCTTAACCTCTGGTCCCGAAGCCTGGGATCTTTTAAACGTTGACGTGTGACGCTTAAGTCTGATATGACGGCGGTCTGATGCAGCCGTCATATCACAGCTAACATCGTGAGAAGAGACTTGCGTATTATTATGAAAGACAATAGCCACTGCGCCGAGTAGAGGCTGTCCAATGTCGAATATTCTAATCTTGATTCCCCAATATTCGCGCTGACCATTAACGTCATCGATACCCCGAGATCATCGGCGAAGCTGATTAAACCATTTTCGATGTACGCCTACATTATTTACGCGCAGGCTCGCACAAAATCCTTGACCAACTATGCCCCGTCGATCTATTCTCTTCGTGTAAAGCGAATTTACGTACGAATACAATCGGCTAGTTAAATTAACGACCTCGTACTTTCCACCCCGCCGCCGCCGCCGCCGCCATGCATAGCCATGATGCATCGTCGTTACGATAAAACTCTCCTGGAAGGCATGCACGAGCGTCGGGATAAAGCACCGAGATATTAAATCGCGACCGCGTCCGGACGCTTATTTTTATCTATCCCTGTGAAATCTTCGTTCGGATCGCAACGTATTAGACGTATTTCATGTAAGGATAAGTTGTCCATATTGGTATGAGAAAGAGGAATCAGTGACACGAGAAAAGCATGAATGTCGACACATATCTTGTGCCTACATGTTACGTTATTTTCTTTTTTCTTTTTTTTTTATTTATTAACGTAAAGTTTCTACATGTATCAAATACGCATGTTATTTGTCGACTACTATGCCCTTCGAAGATTTCTATTCCCTTGAGACCGTTTTATCCCTACATTCAGTACATTCCTTACTGCCGAGCGGTGAAATGGATGAGAGGGTGACCAACCTGAACGACGACGCTTTCCTTTCTGTCACGATGAACGTCGCGTGATAACGTCTTGAAAAGTATACGACAGGAATTTTCAATGGCATGAGTGGATACGAATGGACCGCGTATTGCAAAGAGTGAAAAGATTGAAACCGTCTTACAAATTGATATTTCGGCGAGCTAGAAATATTAGGTCAGAACAAAAATTCGTAGCGCTATTTTATTTGTATTATGTTTAAATTTTTTGCTAATTTAGCATATCATTCGATAAAATAAAGTTTCAGCTTTAAGAATATGCTTTTTACATTAATATAATTTTTAACGAAGTCATGAGATAAGTAAGAGTCGAGGTGCTTCTTTTATTTAATTCATGATAAATTAATAACAAAAAACTTAGAAATATTTTTAAAAAATAATTTTGTAGGAAAAACTTTAAGCTGTCATGTTAGAGCGTCGAAAATTTTTGCAAGTTTTTTTTAGACACATGATGAGCTCACAAAGTGAAAAGAAAATTTCGCATTTTGCCCAACTCGTAGTTTTCTATACGTAAAAATTAACAGAAACAAAAAAACTTTAGTGACTTTAAAAAATAGAGAATTTAACTGTAAAACCCTTTTTCTAATATAAATTTCGTTCATTTTTAACGAAAATATAGCTACTTGAATTTTGAAGTTTGT